GGCGGGGCCGGAGCCAGCTGGCTGCGGGGTGTGTGCCACCAGAGCACAGTAACTGCAGCTGCAGAAAATAAGGAGCTTACGGATTATATATATATATATATAAAATAAAACAGTCTTTGGTGCCCAGTTGCAAAGCAGCCACCTCTGTATTTTGTTTGTTAGTTGTTTAACGCAGTTTCAGGGCTTTTCTAGGACGCAACCTATCAGGGCTTCACTTCCCGCATATTGAGGGCGGCTGTGGGAACGGGAATCGAGCGTCGAAGCTGAACAACAACTTGGCTGCCCATGATGTAACTGGGAGGAGGGAGGGGGACCCGCCTCGTCCCGCTCCGCCACCGCAGCCCCAGCTCAGCGGCGGCTCCGTCAGGGTTTGGCTGCAGATGGGATCGCTTGAGCCCAGTGATTCTCAAGTGGCAGCGTGTGGATGAGGCGCCTGTAACATCCCAGAAGACTGGGCTGAACAAGAACGCCTCGTACCTCCTTTACTGGGATAAAATAGTCTGTTCTCCCCCCACCCCCCCCACACCAGAGGAGTTATTTGGGGCAACTCTGCCTGTACAGGCAAGCCCTTCGCACACAAGACGAGACAAACAGTCCTCTTCCAAAAGACACCCAGCAAACCCCACCCTGCCTCGGATCTGCCTGGCTGCTCCTTGGCTCAGGACGCAGGAAGGGATGGAGCCAGGCTCCCTCGCTTCCTCGTTCCGGCCTCCCCGGAGTAAACAACCCCCTCCCGGGCCTGGACTGCCCAGCCGCCGCCGCTCCGCGCCATCTAGCGGCCAGTCCCCACCAGTGCCACCAGTACAACCCTGGCAGCGGCTCCAGCTCTGCTTTCGCCCGGGCTTTGGAGGTGTTTTGGTGTTTTAAGGCGGGCAGAGGCACAGCCGATGAGTCTGGCAGCTGCTTTGCTGTGTGACAGGATCCCACTAGATCACTCAGAGGGGATAAAAGGTGAGCTACTGCTCTTCAGCAATAGAGCACTGAGCCATCAGGAGCGACTTCCCAAAGGGGGAGGACAATATTGCCCATGTCGTGGGCACAGACAAGATTTTGCTGTCTGTTACCTCCTCTTAGTCCCCCTCCTGCTAAATTCAACAGTGATTCCTCCCTGTTTGTCCCACCAAAAGCCAAGGAGTGCACACAAATTTCTAAGGCTCACCACTCCGCCCCGAAGGTCCATCTCAAACCTCACTCAGGATGTTTACTCTGTCCTATATATGTGAAAATGCGCCTCCGTGCCCCAGCAACCTCCCTCAAAACTTTCTTGCTGCAGAGACAACAGGAATGGGGGATTTGCAGAGAGATTTTAGGAAGAGCAAGGAACTCTCCTGTGCAGCTCTGACGTTCCAGGGCACAGAAAGAGCGGCAACATCTGACATCCACTCGTCTGCGGCTGGTAGGGACAAGACCAGACATTTCTAACTCAGATGAAAGCCCAAAACACAGATCACAATCTTCTGGAGCACCTTTGGCCAAGGGCAAAAGTACCAGACAGCGTAGAGCCCCGCTGTGAGTAAACAACAGGTTCCTCTGTTTTGATGTGGGGAGTTAAGAGGACAAGAGACAAAAAAAAATTAATACAAGTTAACGCAGGGTTTAAGCAGACTTTGCTTCTTGGAAAGCCTGTGGCAGATGAAGGCTCCGTCCTTGGGAAACCCAGCTCAGCCCCATCCTGCGGCCCCCAGCCCCACACTGGGAGCCCTCTTGTGGGGGAAACACTCTCACAGCGTTTCTGTGGGGCGCAGAAAGCCCCCGCGCTCCAGTGTGAGCCTAAGGGCGTCCCTTCGTCACAAATATTATAAATAAGAACGTGAAGTTTGCATTGCAGGCAGAAGTCACCCTCCCACAGGAGCGATGGCCTCTGAGCTAGAGCAGAGCTGGCCTGGCACCCTCAGGGTCGGTCCCCGGGGACTCCCGGGGGGCGTGAAGGGTGGGTGACCCCAACCGGCTGCCCGGGGCGGGGTCCGGCCTTACCCGGGACGTGCAGATGACCTCCCGCAGGTTGATGTTCATCCAGTTGTCACAGCTCACCAGGTGCCCGTTGTACGTCTCCCCGTTCTTCAGCTCCACCAGCTGTAAGAGACGG